TATCCAGATTATCATTCCAATTATACCGTCAATCATAAACACTTTCCAAAATAGTTATATGTATATTTATCATGTTTCAATACATAGAATCCAGACATTTATGATTAAATCGTTTAATAAGGAAATATTATCTTTAAATCTTTTCAAATTCATGTACCCTTATCAATTTCAAATCCGGTCATTTAATTATATCTTATTAATTATGGATGTAAATCATATATTTTTTATAACTATTTTAACTTATTATAATATCAGGACTCATGTTTTCCAATTATTCCCTTTTCCATATTTTGTTATGATATATAGATATAGATATCTTATAAAATCATTGTTTACCATTCTATATATCCTTATTAACCCTATATAATATTACGTATCATACAAATCACAAAAAAAAATGTTTCTTCAACCTCTCAATCACGAAAAAAATTGTTTCTTCAACCTCTCTTTATACTTGCTGCTGCCTACTTCCATCATCCATCATCCATAACAGGTTTCATTATCCTCTGCAATGTTTGTTTTTGTTGTTATATTATGAATCATGTATGGAATGGTGTTTTGAATATATTTATCATGTATGCAAACTGCTTTATTTTTTCTTTTCTTTCGTGTTAAAATATTTAATAATTCTAACTCTTCTTAATTCACATTCTGTCATCAAACTTCCTTTGCCGAATTCTATTTGATTTCCGTCTTTATTGAATTGAAAACTGTTTTTTTGGTGAAGGTGTGGTTTACACTTTTTCCTTCATTAAAACAACAATCATGACAGCAACAATCGTTGTCAAGGTGCATAAAACCAACATGCTGGAATATATCGATGTATTAGGCAAAAATGTCTATAAATAATATGGACCATTTATGTTACAATCTCCTAAATGAACATGTATTCAATATATTCTGCCACATGGATCATAATATATTTTCACTTTCAATGTTGTCCCATATTAATTAATAACAATTATATTTCAACTATTTTTTAAAAGTAAATACACATTATATCATCCTACTTTCAAATCTGCAATAGGATCTCAATATTTAACTTTACCACTTGGACTTTTGCCTAAAAGTTACTTCTTCATTCCTTAATATTTGGCTTAAGCCACTGAGTTTGTTATTCCACAAACAAGATTTTATAACAATAATTTTTTATTATTGTTCGTAACAAACTATGTTGACCAAATCTATTATTGTCAATTTGTTTTAAGTTTAAATAAGAAACTATGTTGACCAAGTCTATTATTGTCAATTTGTTTTAAGTTTAAAGATAATCTCCTTAATCTTTGGCTTAAGCCACTGAGTTTGTTATTCCACAAACAAGATTTTATAACAATAATTTTTTTATTGTTCCTAAGAAACTATGTTGACCAAGTCTATTATTGTCAATTTGTTTTAAGTTTAAATAACAAAATATGTTTACCAAGTTTATTATTGTCAATTTGTTTTAAGTTTAAAGGTAATTTCCTTATGACCAAGGGTATAATTGTCAACACGAGCACATACTCTACAAATTTTAATTTCTTTCATGAATCTTATATTCTTATTTATGCAGATTATCATTCCAATTATACCGTCAATCATAAACACTTTCCAAAATAATTATATGTATATTTATCATGTTTCAATATATAGAATGCAAACATTTATGATTAAATCGTTTAATAAGTAAATATTATCTTTAAATCTTTTCAAAATCATGTACCCTTATCAATTTAGAAACAATCATTTAATTTAATCTTATTAAAAAAGATTTAATTCATCTATTTTTTATATATATTTTTATTTAATATAAAATCACGACACATGTTTTCCAATTACATCTCTATATTTGTTAACCAACTTTAATTCGTTATTATCTTCACCAATATTCTTTAATTTCATTCTTTGTATAATCATGAGGACTGTTATAGATGCTTCAACAACTCTATTTGCTAGAGGTGTTGGCAAAACTGTTATTTCCATATGTTCATCCAAATGGACATTGCTTACTTTTGAGTTATTACCGTATCACATTAGACAAACCTCACAATTGCAGATGCGTTCATTAAAATTAATAAGATATAAGTTTTTTTTAGACTGTTATACTAATTATTTTAAATTAATATATACTTTTATTTTAATATTTGATATATGTTATGTATGTTAGGACATTTAATATAATTATGCCCTATAGAAGATAATATAATTTTAAGATCCATTTATAGGTTAAAATCTGTGTAATACACATGTTGATAACATAAATGAGCAAAAATAACAATGTACTTTGAAAGTATGTTGCTATAAATAACAGAAATTGTTCATGTTACTATTTTTTGTTAATAATTTTTTAATAGTTTTTAGAACTCAATAAAATTATATATTTCGGGACATAACCCTAAAATAACAATCGAAATTATATAGGTTTTGGTCATAACCCTAAAATAACAAAGTATACTTCGAAACTAAAGAAAAACAAAAAAAAACAAATAATATTTAAATAATAAATTCCAAAGATGTTTTTACGTTTTTTATGCGTTCCTCTGCGTTTAACGCGGGTTATAATCTAGTTCCTACTAAAACGAAATCTTCTTTTGAAGTCATTCGACCCGTATACACAATTATCCACAAAGTAATCGCGATATAGATGTTTGTGTCCTTCCTCGCGATTTTTGTTTAATATCGCACGTCTTGTTAGTAGCGGGGCTAGGTCTCGTTGTAACAACTTGTTAGTATAATAATGATACATCATCTTGAAGAATATATCGTCATCGGAATCATCGGACGAGTCGAAAGGATCCATAACTTTTTTGAAAATAATTGAAATTTTAGAGAGAAAGAGAGAAATTGTGTGAAAATATTTGTAAAATGGTAGGTATTTATAAGATAAATATTTTTTTTTAAAAAAAACTGACCGTTGGCAACGGTCGGTCAAGGATCGAACGGTCAAATTTAACTCGTTTCTTCCGGTTGTGATGCCAACGAGATACCCTCTTAACGAGCTATAACGAGAAGGGGGGGGGGTGTTTCCCCGTTACAACGCCGTTGTGGCCTTGCCACGTCGGCCATAACAAGCAAATTTGTGCCCATACCGTATGTTCTAATAGACCCTGAATGTAACACAAATAAAGAAAAATAAAGAATACTTTCCATGACTCTGAAGTTCAACTGGGGTTATTTTCCTTTTGAATGACTATTATTTTCTTAATTGACTATGTAAATAAGCCTTCTTTGGTTTTCCATTTAAGGGTTCTATATTTGGGAAAATACCGGTAATAGTAAAAAAATGGGAGAAATTTTCAAAACTTAGACATGAAAATGGACATTTCCGGGTATAGACATGCATTCCGCGGAAGTAGCTCCGCGGAATCTACTGTAGCTCCGCGGAATGGTAAAATCGTAAATAAATTAGTGTATTAATAAAAAAAAAACTCAAAATTCATTCCGCGGAGCTACAATGGATTCCGCGGAGCTCCGAGGAATGGATCTTCAGTTTAAAAAAAAAAAAAAACTCCTCCAATGATTCTTTTATGTAATGATCTCTAATTAAAAGACTAATTTTTTCCACCTCACATTCATATGAAACATTGTCAAGAAAAATTCATACTATCATAATCTTTTCTTGAAAATAATTAGTTGGGGCAATGAATATAAACCCCGAAGAATCGATTTGAAAAAAAAAAAAAAAAACTGAAGATCTATTCCTCGGAGCTACCTCTGCGGAGCTCCGCGGAATCTACTGTAGCTCCGCGGAATGGATTTTGAGTTTTTTTTTTCTTTTAATACACTAATTTATTTACGATTTTGCCATTTCGCGGAGCTACAGTAGATTCCGTGGAGCTACCTCCGCGGAATGTATGTCTATACCCGGAAATGTCCATTTTCATGTCTAAATTTTGAAAATACCCCCCATTTTTTTACTATTGCCGGTATTTTCCTTCTATATTTCACCTGTACCCCGTTGCTTATGTCGTACACATACTTCAAAATGGAAATATTTTTGTACACATACTTCAAAATGGAAATATTTTTGTTTTGGATCAACAATTTAAGACAAACACTACAATCCGTTTGTTATATGGTTGACAATGAAATTCAAATTTTCACATGCATTTTTAAGTTGAAAATCATCCTATTTGACCACAAAAGTCACATGTACCCAGTTGCTTGCTGCTATCCCTTTGTTATATTGTTCATAATAAATTTCAAAACTTCACAGAGTCATATACTCATATGCAATTTCAAGTTGAAAATCAACCTATTTATTAATGATCACCTTTCACAACCATTTTTTATGAGTGGACAATTATACCCTTTCTTTTATTTACAACTTTACCCCCTCTACACTAAAACCCTTGCAGGCGTATCAGACTATCAGCCGTTCCCAATTTCCTACGTTCATATACGACCTCCTGTTCCGGCATCCCCATCGCATCTCAGGCCTGTTATACCCCGTCGCCGCCTCCGACTTGCTCCGCCACCGTCGTGGCCTGTGGCTTGCTCCACCGCCGTCGTTCACCATCTGCCTCCGGTTTGCTTCATGCCTTCACAGGCAACGCTAATTTCTATACAATAGCAATTTTGTTTCTAATTTGATCATGTTCAATGTGTCTATTATCCGGTTTGCAGAAGCGGTAATTTGAAATCAACTGATTTAGATCCGTTTCCTGTATAATAGTGAACTGATTTGGAATTTGTTAATTATGATTTCCGTTTGTTATCCTGAACTGAACAATAATGTATCAATGTTTCTAATATTTGATCAATTCCTTACAATATCAGTTTTTCTATAATCAATTGTCTATCATCCAGTCTTCAAATCCAAATATCGATTCCTTACAATACCAATTTGATTGTTCCTGTAGAGAGGCTTCACAGTAACAGCAAAATAACTTTTTGTTCCATCTGATAACTTTTTGCTTCCATTTGAGTTTCATTTAAATGGATTTGTAATTGAGTTCTAGTTTGGTTAGAAACAAAATTCAAATAGAAACAAAATTGCTCAAAATCATTTATGAGATTAAATGATTGTTCATGAGATCTCAAAATCATGTAATCTCATAAATGTTATATAAAATGATAAATTCAAATAAAATAATCTCATAACCTCCTCAACTATTTTCCTAATTGTTCATGAATCTTTCTACTCTTTTCTCTCAAATGGTAAATGCACATACGGAGAAATCTAACCAAACAGCCCCTGAGTATACAAAAAAAGTTCCAAACAGCCCCTAAAAACATTTTTACCATGTAAGAAAATATCAGTTTAGGTTAAATTTTTTATTGCAAGAATAATGGTAAAAGTCTTATGTTTAGAATGTAACCAAACAGCCCCTGAGTATAAAAAAAGTTCCAAACAGCCCCTAAAAACATTTTTTTTAACAAAAAAAACCCGATTTCTCTAATCCTTTTCACTTCCAAAGAAGCTGCCTATGTTTTCATTCCTTCCGTTGAAACGCGCGCTTTTTATACAATTTTGAATTTTGATACCTTTTCAATTTTATTAAAAAATAAAAATAAAAATTCTCTTTTTTCCAATTTCATCATCAAGGGACTATAAATAGCCCCAACCCCAGACTGACATGCAATTTTCCGTCTTTCTTGCGTCGATATTTCGCCGACTCTCTTTCTCTCGTTAGCTCTATTGGATCTCTTCGTATTCGTCAGGTATGTATCTCCGTATTTAAGATAGCTCAGTCGATTATATCTGCTCTGGTTTGTAAGTTGTCTTCGTTTAGATCCGATTTTGTTTTCAAATCAAATTGGTGTAGTGTTTCATCGTTCTGTGAAGTTCCCTAGATTGTTCCCCACCATTTCGATGTTTTTTTGTTAAAAATTGGAGGAATTAGGGTTTTGTGACAACTTTGTATGAATACTCGTGGTGATGAGAAAGTGAGTAGGAATCATCCGATGTTATATTAAGTTTACGAATTGACATTGTGTTGTGTGATAGAGAAATGGATAGCAAGGAGCAAAGTGAGAAACTGAAGAAATATGAAGCTCAATACGCCAATTACTTGAAAACAAAGTACTTCTCCGATAAGGATATCTATGGAGGTAAAATTCAGAACTGATGATTTTGTATGATTGTGTTTGTGTTTGTTTTTTCATTTCAATTACTGGATTATAGATTTCTTGATTTACATGAATAGAAAGTGAACTGGATATGTAAGGAAATGGAGCTTGATTATCTCCAATGTTATTAAACACAGTTTAAGCTTTATCAAAGTGAAAATAGTAAACAGACTTTGCTTTTGGTAGTTTTCTGCTAAATTTTATTAACAAATTGAGAAATTTGTTGTTTATTGTAATCTGATTATATTGTGGTTCTGAAATTTGCAACATTTGTGTGAGCCCATGAAGTTATTTGTTTTCCTTTTGGGCAATATGCTGGATGGAGTTATTTGAGCAACCCCTCTTTAATTCACAGATGTGGTTTTAAGTTTTAAGTTTTAAGTTTTAACCCAAAATTACCTTCATATCAACTGACAAATAAACATTTTAATTAGAATAATAAAAACAATTATATGATTATCTTTCATCTTTTTATACCTAAATCACCTGCACATTTATACTAGTGAGATAAGTTCATGATTATGAGGCCATTAAACAAATAATTGGATTGTAAAATGATAAAATTTTAATGCAGGTAATATTTTTGAAGAGAAGACAACGATAGGCGGAATGACAATTAGGGCAAGCAGGTAAATATTTTTATTAAATCCACATGTAACAAGTTTTATATTTTGCAATTAAAACATCATTCACTAAGGTGTTGTTTCTTTTTGTCTTAATTTGGTAAGCTATTTTTATGGGTGTTTCTTTTTGACTTAATACAAAAATAACGATTTAATAAAAGAAAGTACTTTTCCCAAGTGCACCGTCATTTCTCACTTTTTTTTTTTTTTTTTTATTTTTGTCAGTGAGCCTGGGACTAGATCTTATGCCGATCCTGTTGGATATTGGAATGAGAAGTATGTGCCTCGTGTAGAGCCTTCAACAGAAACAACAACAACCAACATTTCAAATGGAAATCACTCCTCTAAAAATAGTGCTTAATGTCAATCTGTCTGTAAATCGTATGCATATTTAGGCAGTTTTTAATGATGCAAAAAATATTTGTCGGATAAAAGTAAAAGTTGTTAATTGGTGGTATTTAACCAGGTTGTAACTCACTAAAGTTTTTTTTAGACTCACTTTTCTTGCTTAATTATTACCATTATGACCTGATATAGCTTTTTCAGCTGGTTACTTGTATGTGGTGTCTGCGTGCCTAGGGCTAACCAATTGAAAAGGCTAAACTGTAGCTGGCCATACTGATACTTTTGACAAAACTGCACAAATGGTATCTGTGGTTAGCTCAAAATTGTCACTTTGGTCCAAAAAAATTTGGACTTGCACCATAGGTCCAAACTTTTCATTTTGTTGCGAGTTTGGTCCAATTTGCTTTGAACTTTTTTATAATGACGATTTTGCCCTTATTTTTTTTTTTAGCTTTTTTTTTATTTAAATATTTTTATGATTAAAAGAAAATAAAAAAGTAAATATTACCCCTACCCTACCCTCTCTCTCTTACAATGCAAAAGACCACCACCATCGGTCAGCATCACCGCCGCCACCAACACCGGCCACCACCACCGTCGACACTGATGCTTCCTTTGTAACCTTAAACACCACACACATATACAACTCTCTCTCTTTCTCTCTCTCTTTCTCTCTCTAGATGAACACACACGAAAATCAGAAATCTAACATACAAGAACACATTAAAAACCTAGAAATGATTAAACACAGATGATATCAAGCACATAAATATGTTCAAGAAGATATGATATACAAAACTAGAAATTTGATATACAAGACCAAACACATAAACCTGATTCAATACACAACACTCGCTGGAGCAACATTATCTTTAAGCCATCTGTTGTTCGAAGCAAAAATCAAGGGTTTCCAGATCTTCATGTCTGTGGATCGAAGCAAAAACGAATGTGGCAACAAATCTGAAAAACTGGGGTTTTGAAAAACTAGAAGGGTGGCGGTGCTAGGGTTTTTAAAAATGACGGCACCTCGCCGGAGAAGGAGAGGGACGGGCGGATGAAACCCTAAACAGCGTCAGATATCTCACCATATCTGTTCAAATCCAAAAAACGAGGGTGAAAACAGATCTTCATGTTAGAGCTGCCATACGAAGCTTTTGAAACCCTAAACGGCGGAAACCGAACCCCTACGACGCTGCTCAAACCCTTGTGTCGTCCGAACCCGAGCCTTTGTCGGCACCGCCGCCTCTACAAATCCTAGATATCTTGCCAGATCTGTCCGTCTCCATGCTTGTCGTATCGTCAGCATCGTCGAAAAGTAGCAATTTCTTGAGTGTAGATGTCGTCGGAAAACAAATAAATCTCGTTGGTCTCAATGATGGCGGATTTTGTGGGTCATCGGACATGGCAGATTTGAGGGAAATGAGTGTTTTGAAGAAGAAATGAAGAACATGAGAGAGAGAGGTTAGGGGTATTTTATTTTTGTTTTTTTTAATTGTTTTTAAATGGTTGTAATAAAAGAAAAATATAAAAGAAAATAATAAGGGGCAAAATCATCATTATAAAATAGTTCAAAGCAAATTGGACCAAACTTGCAACAAAATGAAAAGTTTGGACCTCTGGTGCTAGTCCAAATATTTTTGGACCAAAGTGACAATTTTGAGCAAACCACAGAGACCATTTATGCCATTTAGTCGATATTTTTTTAACAAGAAAAGCAAGTTTAAGGATCCAGGTGGCCAAAATAAACTTAAAATGACAAATTGTATAAACTGGCGGCTGTACAATTATTAAAGGGTTAATGTTACTGTAGCCTAAATAATTATCAGTTTTTATTTTAAATGGTCACTTATGTTATATTTTTGCATTATAAGGGTACTAACTTCAGTTTTTAGGTTTTACAAGAGCATTTTGTAAAAGATGAAGGGGTTTACCTTACCGGTAAACCTTAATCAATCAAAAACATATATATTATGTCATTAAATGAAATTTATCCTCATGCGCCACATATATAAAATTTAGGCACCTTCACGTGTCTTCCCTCTTCACTCTCCTCTCCTATTTTCTCACTTTGTCAAATATCTGAGTTCTTGAGTTATCTGGTTGTACACATGAACACACATCCAATGTTTGGTTTAGTGGGTAGGTGGAGAAGCGGCTGTGGTGGGTTGCAAATGTATGGGGAAGTGTAGAGATATGAATGTTAGGGTACGCACTGACGGTGGTGATGGAAATCGAGGTTGGACTCGAGGATGTTGATTAGATTGTGACTAGTTTCTTTGGTGGAAGTCGAAAATGTTGTGACATGGTGCCTCATTGTAAGTGTTTGACTAGATTTTGGTTATGATTTGGTAATTTGTGAGGTGGATTTTAGTTTAATTCTTATAACTTATGAAAAAAGCCACCTCATCAAGGGCACCAGTAATAACAAGTCAATATCCTCTTTTTAGCCGCTAAAAATAGACTTTATGTCCGTAAACTACAAAAAAAAAAATGGACCATTTAAAACAAAATCGGATGGTTGGGTTAAGTGACATTAACCCAATATTAAAATGTTTTTTTTTCATTTTGTAAAATGACATGGGAGACCTTTTCGCAAAAATGATGGTGTTCACCCGTAAAAGAAAATAATGTTACCTCACAAAAATTGAATTTTGAAAAAAATAACAAATTTATAAAGCAGTTTTGGTGATGGATTGTCACTGTTTGATGAATATATTGCAAGTGATATTTGATTAAAAGGTGGTTATTTTATGATATTCTTTATCCATTTTGGTCTATTTGGTAATTATCCGGAAAACTTTTAAAACAACACTTCCATTTGTAGACTATACAATTTAGTGATTTACACTATAGTATAGCATTACAGAAAGCCATAAAATCATACTAAAGCCATAACCGGATCTTAATAATTAAACAAAATGACTATTAAGAAAATTGATGTCACTCCATTAGCGGGGCGTGATTAAATTAAGTGACTTTAATAGTAACCAAGATTCATAGATTGAAAACAAAGAACATTAATTTTTGAAATGAGTATTCCTGTTTAGAATTGGTTTTTTGGAAGATGGTCCACCATAGGCCTGTCGGAAAAACCCGAAACCCGTTCTACCCACCCGACCCGTTCTGAATTCGGGCAGAACAGGTAACGGGTATGGACATTCGGGTAATAGGTTAACCCGATAATAATATAGGTCGGGTTTAAGTATGAATATTTATTTTCGGATATACCCGAATACCCGAATTCGTTTTTTAAATAATACCAAATATACAATGCAGTCACGTACGCACACTTCAAATAAAACAAAACTCTTCGTTTCCTTCTTATGAATGACGGCTCGACAGTCGACGCAAACTTGCAAAGGGAATACGACGCTGAAGCTGAAGTCCTGAACCGTCATCACAATTCTCAGTTTCTCACTATCGCACGGAATGAAATTAAAAAAGTACATAACATATTATAATGATTTGTATTGTTATTATATATGTACTTGTTAATTGTATGGAGTATTTTCCTACCCGATTCTTTATTAAACCAACCAACATGTAAAAATAAAAAAAATAAAAAAATTATCAATAAATGTCATTTAAAAAATTTTCGAGTATACCCGATAATTACCCGACCCGACCTCAAACCCAAATACCCGAAACCCGAAAACCCGAATTATAATATAGGTCGGGTATCGGGTATTATTTTCTTAAGGAAATACCCGTTCTACCCGACCTGTTCTACCCGAAACCCGAAAATTTTACCCGTTCGACACCCCTAGTCCACCATGTGTTAAAGAGAATGTTAAATATCACATTCTTACAAATGAATATTGTTACTTGAAATCATTTAAAGGGAAAACGTACAAGTGAGAAGAACCAAACTCTTTTAATATGTGATGATCATGTGATACGATGAGGGATCATAATCAATGCTTAGCTAGCCCTAGAAATATGGAATCCGATTCAATTCAAGCACAATAAAAGTAACAATTCAAGACCTCAGTCCAAATACCCCCAAGGCAAGCAGATCTAATGAAGACTTTTACTATGATGTTGTACAAGAATATGTACGGTTTCTAATTCATTGGAATCACCAACCTTGCTAGAGTCGTCGTCGATACATAAAAAAGTATAGTTCTTATACTTGGTGTGTCAACTATTGAGATTGGGTTTCCTATTGCATAAGCTACGGTTGAGATATGTGTTTGGTCAATGTGTGAAATCAGTTCGATAATGATCTTTTGAATATTTTTTTTCTAAATTTTTCATCATTGAAATAGAAAAACTATAAATGAAGTTGTATTTGATCACTTACAAATATGAAAGACTCTTAGAGGACAATTAATAGTATGTCTTTGAAGATTTTTCTTGTAATTTAATACCTTTTTTGTTACTGATATTTAAATTTTAAGTCGATTTGAAAAATGATGTAATGGATTATAAATTTTGTACCTCAACCTATTTAGACCATGGATGCAACGCTAAGCCAAGGTGTAGACTGCTGATAACAAGGTCTTTTTGGGTTTCCCTTGAGAACCAAATTGAGTAGAATAAATAAAGAAGAAATTAGTTTATTAATCATTATGGCTTAATAATTAAGTAGAAACTAATTGGAAAATATTTTTGGAATTAATTAATTAAATAGCCGAATATTTATTAATCAATAGTTGGTTAATTAAGAATGTTCCAGAACCCTTATGAGATATGGGTTTGGACGAAATCTCCTTAGGAATAAGGATAATTTCATTATTGGCCTCTCATCCCACATGGGATGGAGTAGAAAACCTAGGAAGGGATACACGTCTATAAATAGGGCCTTAGGGATCATATCATTCCTTGCACATTGGCTTGAACTTTCGCCAACCCTTCTCCCCCCCCCCCCATAGGAACGATTTCTAATATTATTAGGGTTTGTGAAATTGACTTTTCTCCTCGTTGTTTTATTCCACTCTTTGGTGTCATTGGGTGTGATACCATTAGAGGGATTCTAGTCAAGATATCAAGCACTGAGATCAAGGGCTACATAAGATATATGTTATTCTTCGTTATGTTTTATGTTTTCAAAGGGTAACAGTAATTAGTATGAAATTTAGATCCTTGGGTGTATGTACACTTAGGTATATCATAGATTGGTTTATCCGCTACCTAGT